ACATAAGAACCTACGTTGTAAACCCGCTGTGCCTCTTCGCCTACTTGTTCATCTTGGAAAATTCGTGGATAAGCTCGGTTTGGATATTTTCCACGTAATTGCCATACATCAAAAAATGGTTTCCAATCGATATACGGTAATAATTCGCGAAGATTGAAATCCAAAAATTTCCGCCGGCCAAGGAACGATGGCTTCACTGGAAAATATACGGTAATAATTCGCGAAGATTGAAATCCAAAAATTTCCGCCGGCCAAGGAACGATGGCTTCACTGAAAAAAAAAGGCCGTTAGAGGGGACGGTCCGATAGAAAACCAAAGGGTACCCGGAGGGAATTTCTCGAAATCGACAACCAATCGCTTTGTTCTGGCAGTTGGGAGAGAAGTGAAACGACGATCCTTTAGGGACTCGTAATGTTCCTGACGAACCTGAACCGATATAAAATAATCTAGGGACTATTGAGCCCGATTATTTCCAACAAAACGAAGAACCCACCGCTTCATACTCCTCACTTAGGTCAGCGATAAAAGCATCTCGGGTCGTTTTATCAGTAAGGGATGAGCACTGAAACAACCAGAGTAGCATTTGAATCTGCATTCCTCCAAAAAGTAAAAACCCGACGACAACCCCAGAAATTTTTTGGCTTACTAAAATTTTTTTGAGTTTTGACTCATTTACTTTCTTTACCCACATGTGCCGTTCCCTCTTGGGAGAGAATACCGAATTATACTGCAATAGCTTAGATCCAAGCACAGTGGGCTCCTGGTTATCCCCATCTAGCTATCCCTGGGCGTCATCGGGATTTGGGCTCGTAATCGGTAAGTCCTGCCACCTATCGTTTCACCATATAGTCGTTAATGGCAGGGTGGAGATCGAAGTTCTGGTGGCAATCCAGATATCAAATATAATGAATGAACGATTGAGGATAAAGTCTTGAGGCCCTAATCAATCCCGTCGAGGGATGCGTCCGGCATCCGACTTCCATTCAGAATCATAGTGGCGTATTGAATGCGTTTTCGGGGCCTACACAATGAATTGCGGTGGCCAGCCGATTTACAAGTAAGTGCTTTTATCCTCGTAGACAAATCCGGTACCGATTGATTGTCCCCGAAAGGATGAAAGGCTTGGTTGACCTAAGCGGATATAGACCCGGTATTTGAACCAGTGACCATGCGTGTGTGATGCGCATCACTTGCCACTACACCAACTTCATAATGAATATGCATATACTTAGAAATATAACTAATATTTATATAGTTCGACACTGATTCCTTTGAAAGTACACTGCCCTTGTATTTCAAAATTCACCTCACTCAGACCCGAACGAAAAAAAAGCAAGAAAGAGGTCTCGCTGTGCCCATCCTTGCCCGCGCCTACGCCATTTGCGTCTTTTACACCTCCCTTTCGACCAAATTCCAAGAAAACAAAAGTGCACGGCTGAATAATTCGAATGCCCATTAAAGGAAAATTTCAAAGAGGCAAACTAACCACAACAACAGATTTACTGGCATCCAAGCAATGAATCACTGGGCTTTGATAACGGGGAGCAATTTTCACCGCCGTATGCGTTTTTGACGTAGTTGCTCCGCCTATAGAACAAGACAGCAAGAGTAGGTATGAACGGAGGTCGATCGCAATGTAGTTGAAACACCCAAATGGGAAACAAGAGTTAGCAGTAAGTTGATGTAAGCAATGTACCTATAAGCAATGGTATTTTAAGTCCGCAACGTTGCATTTCTTTAGCCACATGAACCATTTCATCCAGTGACGGTGTAATCAAGCCGGAACATCCGATGAAGTCTGAAAAACGGACTCACATTCACATTTAAATGGTGAAAATCATAATTTATCATTATTATCTATAGGATATTTCATTGTTTATTGACATCATATTTATTTATTTAGTTTTATCATTCAAATTCCAAGAAAATCGATAGGAAATCAGCGCTTCAGGAAGCACCAGGGTAAAAAACTCCTTCCTGGCAAACTTTACTATGTAGAACCGACTTGGAAAATCATCAAATAAAAGTTATGAGTGACGGTACTTCTCTTGACTTCCCAGAGCAGTGGTTCCGCGACAACTACCGTATCCTTCCAATGAAGATTCGAACCTTTCTTTTGCCAGTGCGCAGCTGCGTGCTATTGGATGCGGCGAGCGCGACGCGATTTTTGGGAAGAAGTACCCTCACCCCCAAAATTCATTGATGCCTTACCAGCTTGTTCTTCTATAGCAGTTTTGATTATTGTTTCACAAGGTGTCATCACGCCCAAATCGATTACCTGAAACAAGTTCTGGGCTGGATTGCTTTGGATTAAAATGAATTTCTGCTATTTTCATCTTTAAACTGTTTAATTTTTTTAAGAAAGTGAACCTTTTCCATTTTTCGATACAACTGTGCGCCTTCTCTGTTTTTTGAATTGTAACGTATCAGGCAAGAGTTGAAAAAGAAATAAAAAACGGTCGATTGGGACTTTGAGGCATCATTGACTGTAGCATCAAGGAGACGGTAAAGGTGAGCGAGAGAGAGAGAGAGAAGGGAGGGAGGAAGCTAGGGAAGAAGTTTAGCTCGTTGATGCAGAAAGGAATCGTTATTTCTGCAGAGATCAACACTCATCCTGTGAAAATACTTCATGATACAGTATTCGGTTGAAAGTTTCAAAAGTAGTCCTTTTCATAGAAAGTGATCAAAACTTTTCCCCACCTTTCACTCCTCAATCACTTTCCCTGAAAGTTCTTATGGTGTTCGTCATGAGCGAAGAAGAAAATGGGAAGGAGTGGAGGTTGGACTCTGTACTAATGAAAATAGAGATTTTTCTCGTCAAGGAGCACGACTCTGATCGGGAAATTAAGTCAGTGGTTGTGGGCCAGAGATTCTGGAGGAAAAAGACATCATGTGAAGGTTCGCTCAATTTAGCATTTACTTTCCAACTTCAAAAGTGATTCTGAGGAAAATAGAATTAGTTCATACCTTAAAGTTATTGCATCCCAAAACGACAGCCACTATGTTCTTTCCAATATCATGGACATCACCTTTGACAGTAGCGAGAACAATTGTTCCCTGGTAAGGACTCTGAAAAAAATCCCTGAAAGTCGACCTCCAAAAGATAGATAAGTACGGTACAAGTAGTTTCGGTATTATGGCATACCTCATCACCAGATATACCCAGTTTCTTGATATTCTCCTCACGTTCTTGGTCCATGAACGGTATCAAGTGCGCTACGGCCTTCTTCATTACACGTGCAGATTTGATTACCTTAATAATGACTGGAGGATCGTGGAAGATTAGTCCTTTTGAACAACAGAACTAATGTATAATAACGTTTTTCATTGAAACAGGGGAAAATGCATAGCAAACACCTACAGGTGTAAATACTGTTAAATTAAGGAATTATAGACAAATAAAATACTTCTACATTGAGAAGGGCTTCAATCTTTTTTTACAACAGAACTCTTTTATGTTCATATTTTGATAGCTTTAAATTTGCGACGTGAATAAATTTAATTCAATTATTTATATAAATAACAACATATAAATGCAATATTGAAAGTAAAATTGAAATTTGTGCAACAAAAATGAACTTCATCTTCGAAAAAATGGACTATGCGAAAAAACATTTTTATAAAAAAACGAAAACATTTTAATGAAAAAATGCAGGGTGAATAAAACAACTGAAAAATAAATAAATAAAAATAAATAAAGTGAATTAATGTTATAATTGTGTTTATAAACTGTATCATTAAGTTGCTGCATTTGAAAGCATTAATATAGTTTATTTATATGAAAAATTTTGAACTAGGTACACAGAATTAATGAAAAATCACTGAAAAATTACCTGGGGCAAAAACATTTTTCCAGAACCAAATAGCTCTCCAACGACGGCCATCCCATCCATCAACGGTCGCTCGATCACGTTCAATGGCCGAGGATATTTGTCCGTCATGCAACGGGCTTCTTCGGTGTCTTCCACTACATGGACGTCGATGCCCTGAAATACCGTATCCATTGCAAAAAAACTTGAACTGACATATCAAGAAAGTAGACGGTAATCGATTGTACTATAGATGCACATCTCGACTTTACGGGTGCTCTGCCCATCTTGGATGGGTCTACTTTACCATTTTGAGCCCAGCTAGCTCAGCCTGAGCTTCATTATTTTATTCTATATTCTTCCAGCTTAGCAGAATGTAGTTTTTATTCTACTGACCATATCCCTGAGACCTTATATCCTCATATACGCTTTAAAAATACTTCTTAACTTTTGAGAGTCATCTTTACTCAACCGTCTATTTTTTCGACCAAAAACCAAATTATATGCATCCAATGTAAGTGCTGCTCACAAGAGTGCACAATACACCCAACACTGGTGTTCCTCATTCATCATAAGTTTGTTCGTACATCTTGGCCTCATCCTCAATTTCCCGAAATTTATCCACTTGTAAAATAACTCTAGGGTTAATTACTGAAATTTGCGCTACTCATGAGAATCCTCTACTTGCCTTATCGGTAAAAAAATTTTCTGTTAAAAAGACCGCCTTACATGAGCATCACCATCAAACATTTCTATAAAAGTAGAATGTCACTTTACAGTAACAAAGTATAGCTTGATCAGCGTACCTTAACCAATGCGTACTTGAGGCGTTCTTCGACCGACAGACTTCGCCATTCCTCGGATTTTTCGGCTTTCTTATCGTCTTTCTTCATACTTTGCGCTACGGTAAGCATTTTCTCGGTTGCATCAGGATCACGATTGAATAGCAAATCTTCGATCAGTAATAAGAGATCCTAAAAAGTTTTCAGATGTTCCCAATTATAGAAATGGATTTGCTTTAATGGTGCACTCTTTTTTTCCATACTGCGCTTTCAAATAATTGGAACAAATATGTGCAGCAGCTACATATGTATACGTCTTCTTCCACGAGATCGACTTTTGGGGGAAGTGAAATTCACTCAAATCGTGCAGTATGAAAGGGAACTACAAAATCGTATGGAGCATAAAGGGCTCTATCAATTCATGTATAACTGGTTCGGAAAGTTTAGACTTTTTGGCGATTTCTTCTGCCGGTCTATCGAGTTCGGATAGTGACTGCTTTTCCGGGGTTCTGAATCGAAATGAGCCAACGCATTGAAGATCAAGGAAGAAACGTCCTAGACTTACAATAGCAACTCGAGGGTGCTTGGAAAGATCTTCGATTCCACATACATGCCAGGAAAGGTGGAAGCCCGCACATAATAAAACCGTTGGGAAGGGTCCGATTCCTGGACGGGGCCCTTACTGTTAGATTATGGCATTCCCACTCTCGGTCGGCCAATGAACGCAGCCCCTTGCCCTTAAAGATTCCACCCACCCACTCAGTATGTCTTGATTAGAGCACTGATTTCGAATACAAAAGACCACTTACCTTGGGAATATCCTCGTATACAGGTAATGCTCCAGCATTTACTATACCCATATCCATTCCAGCTTTTATTGCATAGTATAGAAAAACTGAATGCATCGCTTCCCGAACAGCCTTCAAAACAGGAACATGCAATCACTATCGAATAACTGGAGTAATACGTGAAAAGTGGAAGAAGATGTCATCTCTCAGTCCTGTACCACAATTTTGTGCCGATACACTGACGATTTATATAAGGACTTCAAAATAGAAATAAATAGCCAAAGTAAACACATAAGTCATAAAAAACAAGTCATGATGATAAAATTCAAAGACTCTGTGAAGCAGAAAAATAATTCATTTCTGAGATGGCATCTTGAGGCTAGCTGTCTCGGAATTTCATGGATAACTTTACTTATCCTTGGATATAAGCTATCAAATATGAGCATAGAGAGAAGTATTCAAAAAAGAACTGAAGCTAGTCGAGAGCGAGGAACAGTAACTAGACGCTCATAAGAGCCATCAGATGAAAGCTAACGAGTGGGAAAGCTTTTCGCCCGGTCTAGAAATTCAATATGACAACGAGACGTACCTCCATTCCACGGAACGAAAACGATATATTCGACACTCCCCCAGATACATGACATCCAGGAAGATTTTCCTAAATTACCTATAATAAAGTTGTAGACTTTTCTAGAAATCCATTAAAGCAACGGCTAGAGATGCCATTACCACTAGCACGATGTGAGGCTCGAAGCCACGTATGAAGTTACTCCTTGTTCATGAAGGCGTTGAACTTTTGAGGTCGTTTTATCAATATTAGACCCTGTGAATTTAGAAAACACCGATTTACTCATCAACGAGCTAATCAGCGTATACGGCCAACGGACATCAAATGCTACTACGATTCTCAATGGAGATCGCATTCATGGCGCATCATGCAAATTGAAGAAACGAAACCACATAAAAACTTGGTTGTGCTTCCACATTGATTTTTTTCTATGCAGCAGCTTTATTTGGAGTCAAAATCTACTAATGGTCCCGGCAAAACTTTTCTCCAAAGGAGTTTAGTTAGTTGGATGGACAAAATCCCCACCTTCACTCCACCCCGCTCCTCCAGCCCTTTATCCCTTTGTCCAAAAGCAGGTTCAATTAAAAACATGGAAGCAATGTTTCACAAATAATACGTACTCGAATCATTCGTGTTGCATCGATGAAGTAGACACCGTAGTTGGAATGCTCTTCCATACCGGTTGCAATAGTCAAAATATTTGGATCGAAGATGATATCACATGGATCAAAGCCAACTTCTTCAGTGAGTATTCTGTAAAGGAAGGTGAACCTTTCAGAGCTAGGTCCTTTTAGGGTAATTTCCTGTAGGCGGTACCTGTAACTACGTTCACATATCTCATATTTCCGTTGAGTTTCTGCCGCTTGTCCCTCTTCATCGAATGCCATGACCACTACGGCGGCACCATATCTGCGGATTAGTCGAGCCTTCAAAAAGAAGTCTGATGTTCAAAGAGCTTTCCAAAAGCGGGGTCTAAGCTACTTTTTAATTGAATCTATCAATTATTCCTGAATATTTGTGGAAGTAGGACACTTTTAGTCAAGGAATACGGTAGGTTATGAACTATTACGCATAACCATTTCATACACCTTCATTTGCTCCTCCTTCTGTCCTTTCCCGAACATTTTAGGAGGTAATGCTAATACGTACTAAAACAAGTCCTAAGTGACAGAAAATTCATCCAGAAAGGGAGTTTAATGAAATTAATGCGCTGTCTTCATGAATTCTCAAGAGTTTCTCTGTTCACCATTGAAGTAGTTACAGATACAAATACAGAGCAGTGCTCATCAAGTAAAGTTACTGACGTAAAAATATAGCAATTTGCGAACAGATAAAGACAACGTACACGATCAACGAAGGCCTGCTTTCCTTCCTTAAGAGAAATTGAATTCACAATACATTTCCCTTGAATAGACTCCAAGCCGGCGATGATCACCGAGAAATCGGATGAGTCAATGCAGACGGGTACCTGAAAGGTGCTCAGTCATTAAAATAAAAGAAAATTCAATTCAATTCAACAAGTGAAACACATACTAAAACATGGAGGAGCAAATTCAAAAGAAACAAATAAGAAATAAGTAATAATTATAAATAAACAAATAAATATTAATATCGTCACCTCTTACGAGGAGTTGAAATCTAGCTTCAACAGGTGCTTTACATATTCTAAACAAATTATTATACTATGAACTACTTTACTACACTTTGTAATCCACATTAGCATGCCGGAACTCTGCCCCCTGTTACATCAGAGCACATTTTCTTTACTATAATGAATCTAGGGTGTATCACATAGTTTATGTCAGTGAATGAAGAAGAAAGAATAATAATTTCAAAAAATGTTGGTAAAATAATGATTATTGGTTATTAAATTGAATTCTTATGGAAATTCGTCAACGGAAAATGTAAATCATTCCCAGGAATTCCAATCTAACCCACCTTTGCAACATCCGGCTCCGTAGCGATCAATCGGAGAAATTTACTCATCGCATAAGGTCCATCCAGTAGACCTTCATCCATATTTACATCCAGAACCTGCGCCCCACTCTCAACTTGCTCTCTAGCGACATCGATTGCTTGCTAAAAGTGAAAGTGATTCTTGGCGACAATATTTTAGATATTTTGGAGAGGTACTAAAGCAAACGAAGAAGAAAAATTCAGGAAAAAAATTTTTCGTGATACAGCCTTCTAATTATAGGGTTAGGCGAAAAAAATGAAAAAAAATCCTTCAAACCTCATAATTTTCGGTCTTAATCAGTCTACAGAAACGTCTCGATCCAGCAACGTTGCATCTTTCTCCAATATTCACAAAATTCGTAAATGGCCCGACAACCATCGGTTCAAGACCGGATAGCAACATGTTGCCAGCGTTTGGGTCGGGAGGTGGACGACGTGGAGGAACTCCCTAAACACGCCGCTGATCAGTTTAATTGCTTCCTGAATAAGGAAATCTCAGCTTAAATATAGTAATGGTAGTAGGTAAGTTGAACAATCGCTTGATAGAGTACGTAGGGGTTTATAAAAAAGTCCACCTTAAGGGCTTTCGCCATAGCCGCTATATGATCCGGAGTAGTACCACAACATCCGCCAACAATATTTACCTTAAATAAACAAAATTAACCTGAATAATTCTACTTACAGTAAAGTTAGTAACAATCCAAGACCAAGAAAAACCTATTTTTCTAGAATAAATGAAGCCATTAATTCACATAAAGAGAGTTCAAAAAAACTTACCAGTCCATCCATTGCAAATTGCTTCAAAGCCTTGGCCATGTCGTCAGGTGTCTCGTCATACCCTCCCAGTGCATTGGGTAAACCTGGATCCCATAGGTATTATTAATCAGTGACAATCATTATTAATAATTAATAGTAAATAATAATTACTGAATGTCTATGTGTGCAAATCTAGTTTTCATTGGTCCGAAGTACTCCCACATGAAAGTTAGTAGTTCTCAATAGTTTTAGCTGACATGAAATTGACCCAGCAAACTTTCTGATGAATAACAGTGATAATATCAATAGTAATAATGAAATAATAATTATGATGATGGTAATTCCACCAAAGTCGCTTCACAATTGTTCGACAGTCTTTCACAAACAAATAGATAGTTTTCAATATTTTTAGCCAACATGTAATTCATTTATTTCATACACTCAGAGGATGCGTGGCCCATAGGACAGAAGTGATCATCACTAAAATAAGATTGACTGAAAAAATAGATAATAAATATGATATAAGAATATAAAATAAAGCAAGATATTACAAATAAAAAGAATAAAAAATATATGAAATATAAATACATCATGAAAAAATAATAATTGATGTAATAAATAAGAACATAAATAAACAATAATGTAGTGAACTTCCTACCAGCATTAGGATAACACAGAATGAGAGCTTCGGAGAACTTTGACATAGTTTCGATGAATGGACGCATATCCTTGGCACCAAGGGCACAGTTCAA